TGAAGTACAATAAGTTACTATCAAAAAGTATAAATCCACACCACAAATATTCAAAGTAAAAGAAAATTAAAGTAAAAAAATCAACATTATCCATTAGAATTTGATACGTAATAATTAACATTGTTGGCAACAAATAATAAAATATTGAACTTAATTGTTAGAGTTTTGAAAAACTGCTTTAAAGAAAACTTTTAGTGGTAACATCTAATGCTTTTCTCTTCTTATAATGTATTAAAATCATCAATCCATATTTTCTCCCTCGATAACTCCATACATATAAAGCTTTACATGACTAAAATATGTCTAGGTAGAAAATTTTCTTCTTTTTCCGGTGATAGAGCTAGAAATTTATTGATTGCCATCACATACGTGACAATTATAGAAAAATGTCTTCACATAAGCTTAAAAGGTCTTGAATAGAAAAAATATGAGAGAGGAAATTCTCCCGATCGATCAGTTACTATTTGCTTATCTTATACCTAAAAACATCACATATGAAGAAAAAAAATCATATGCTCAATTATTAGTCTGCTAACCTTATATTTAAAAGCACTACATATGAGAGTGAAATTTTTCGCCTCAATTATTAATCCACTTATCTTATCTTATATCTAAAAACACTACATATGAGAGAGAAAATTTTTCCACTCAACTATTAGTCTGTTTATCTTCTTATACATAAAAGCACTACATATGAGACAGAAAATATTCAGGTCAATTATTAGTCTGCTTATCTTATCTTATCTTATATAAAAAAGCACTACAGATGAGAGAGAAAATTTTCCCGCTCAATTATAAGTTCACTTATCTTATATCTAAAAATACTAAATATGAAAGAGAGAATTCTCACACTCAATTATTAGTCCGCTTACCTTATACTTAAAAGTAATACATATGAGATAAAATTTTCCCGTTCAATTATTAATCCGCTTATATTATACGTAAAAACACTTCATATGAGAGAGGGAAATTTTTTTCGTTCAATTATTAGCTCGCTTATCTTATACCATTGTTCCAAAAAAAAGGTGGAATCTCCCACCCCAGGAGCCCCCCCACCCCGACCCGACAGGATGGTGGGGAGGTTAGTCACGGTGACCTAGTCAGCAGAATGGCAGTAGGCCCATACACCCGTGCGCACCAGAGGCCCAGCCTTATTTCAGGTTCTGTGACCTCCACCCGGTCGCTGCGGGGATTCGAACCTTGGTCCATTGTTCCAAATCTCCCACCACTCGACCAACTGAGCTACCCGTGCGGGTCGCTTATCTTATACCAAAAAGCACTACATACACGTAAGAGAGAAAATTCTTCCGCTCAATTATTTGTCTGCTTATGTTATCTTATACTAAAAAGCACTACACGTGAGAGAAAATTCTCCAGCTCAGTTATTTGTCCGCTGATCTTATACGGAGTATCTAAGAGTAGGGCTGGGTCCGAAAAACCGAAAACCGAATCTAATTAAACTGAACCGCGACCAAATAAAACCGAACCACTAAAAACCGAAACCGAATGTAAAAACCGGACCGAACCGTAGTAGTTTGGTTCGGTTTTGGTTTTTACCCTTCAAAACTGAACCGAACCGAACAAACCGAACATAAATAAAATATGAAATTTTATTTGTTAAATTAGGCCCCTGTACATCAATGTTGTACACACACTGTCACACAAACATTATCATTTTCCCCTAGCATATATCCCAAGCACCCCTTCTTACACATTGGCCATTATCCCTATTATAAAAACACATTGGACACAATCTCCATCGCGAAAACTAGTATATAAATAGATGATGAAGCAAGTTGCTTTGTGAGCTGATTACGTTGCGAGAACAAAGCTAACAATAAAAATATAAAATGCTTGATATCTCTTTAACATCAACCCAAGACTACGATGCAGTGATGTGAATATGGCAAGCGAGTGAGCTAAGACAAACTAGCTTGAGATAATGGAGTCCGGCCGGGTTGATATTTGAATGGAAGATTGGCATACATTGACTCAGTATTTGTATCTAACTTTTCTTACTACGAATACTTACTCCGTTCTTAAATAAATGTAACAGTCAACATTTCACACTTGCTGAGACACAATTTTGACCATTAATATAAATGATTTTGTATTAGTGAAAAAATTAAAAAAAAATAGATTATGAAAATTTAAAATGATACAAGTTTAACAATATTTTTTTCATAAAATAATATTATTACATTAATAAATAAAACGTAGTCAAAGTAGACATGTGAATAGTGTAAAAGTCAAAGTGTTGCATTTATTTAAGAACGGATGTAATATATGTTTCAAAAACTGTCACTTTCTTTTTCGGATTGGTTTAAGACTCGAGTATTGCTGGATAGACACATTTGAAAGAGCTTAGCGTTCACTTTTTATAGAGTTGCATTCCAAGAATTGACTTTTTGTAATTTCAGGATAAAAGCTATCCAAAACTTGATTTTTGGGATATTTCCGCATCAAAGATGTATGAGTCATTCTTTGTGCACACACTCTGAGAGATCTCCAATGGAGGGTGCATTGAAGCTGATGTGGCATAGGAGAGAGATAGAGATAAAATAAATATTTGGATGAAGTGGTGTGTAGGGAAAAATGAAAAAGATGAGAGGGATAGAGGTAAAAATGGACCAAGGTCTATGACAAGGTCCATATATGGACCTTACACGTGATTCGATGAGGAAAAGTTGATGAAAAGTGGATTAAAAGTGATATAAAAAAATAAAAAATGAAAATAAATTAGAAATACGTGGGACCTACACATAAAAATTGTGAGATAAAAAATGGGACATATGCGTAAGGGTGTGTAAGAGACCCAGACCCTTGCATTGGAGTTTCTCTCACATATGTATCCAAAGTTTTTTCAATTTTTTTCATTTTTTTAAACAAATTGCCTATGTACATAAGCAAAATATGTTAGAGTGCAAGAAAATTGTACACATGGCGTGTAATAACGATTTTTTGAAATTATATACATGCTCCGTCGCATTTTAGTTAGCCAAACTTGACTTTCAAATCAATGACGTCTAACTTTGACCGATTATATGTTTATATAGAGAAATTATTGATAATATGAAAAATGATATGAAAACGTTCTTTGTTAAAAATATTATCATAAAAGTATAAAATTATTAAATTTTGCATAAATATATTAGTTAAAATAATTTGTCAAAATTTAACATCTTTGATGGAAAAAGTCAAAGATGACTAAGTAAATTGGGACGGAGGTAGTGTATTTTTATTTTTATATACGGAGTATATGATATTGGTGTACACTTTTGTGATAATAGAGAGATTAAGATAATTAAAAAGTTATAAATTTTGATATAGTTTTTGTAAAAATTGAATTATAAATATAAAATTTATATCACTTTAAAAAGAGAGATTATTTCTCCATTCTTTGTTGCAAATCGATTATGATGTAGGAAGTTTTTTTTGAAGTAGCCGTGTGATGTAGGGAGTTAATTAATTGTTTTAACTGTTGTGATAATAGATTTTGTTTTATCCAATAGAAAGCTGACACATCATTAATTTTTAACTCAACTTTACTATATAGAACTATATACGGGGTGAGATGAACATCACACCCCATGGTCACACGTAGTCAATCCCGTCACCCACAAAATGACTCGAACTACTACCTCTACCCGGTTGACGCGAGGTTTGACTCCCCACATAAACTGGCTGCTGTACTCAAGCGTTACAAGTCATCACACCCCGGAGGCCAAGACCTACCAACCATATCTAAAAAAGGCGATCATTTTTCACAACAAATTCAACAGGTCTATCTCAGCTGCTGTGGGGATCCCTACACAAAATTTCAATTGTTAAAGTTTTAGTACTTGTTTGATTTGTTTTCATAATTTTCTCTTGTAATTTCAAACTCTTTTAATAAAATAGGGAAGTGTTCCCCGACACTCCCCCGCCCCGTGTGGTTTGCTCCGTGATTTAAAAAAAAAAAAACTATATACGAGACCTTTCTATGGGACGTAGAGAGATACTCCCTCCGTCCCACTTTAGTTAGCCAAACTTGACTTTTTAAATCAATGACGTTTAACTTTGACTGATTATATGTTTATGTGGAGAAAGTATTGATAATATGAAAATGATATGAAAATGTTCTTTGTTAAAAATATTATCATAAAAGTATAAAATTATTAAATTTTGCATAAATATATTAGTTAAAATAATTTGTCAAAGTTTACCATCTTTGACTGGAAAAGTCAAAGATGGCTAAGTAAATTGGGATGGAGGTAGTATATTTTTATTTCAATATATATTATATTGGTGTCATATGAAAGATAATAAGAAGCTATGAATTTTGATATAGTTTTTGTAAAAATTGGATTATAAATATAAAAGATATATCACTTTAAAAAGAGAGATTATTTCTCTTTTTTTGCTCCAAATAGGTTGTGATGTATGGAGTTTTTTTTGAAGTAGCGGTGTGATGTAGGGAGTTAATTAATTATTTTAATTATTGTGGTAATAAAATTTGCTTTATCCAATAGGAAGCTGACGCATCATTACTTTTTAACTCAACTTTACTATATAAAACTATAGATAGAATTTATTTATTCATATTTTGAGAATTTTTAATTATCTTATTCTTTTAATATGATTAATTAGAGTCCGTTTGGTAAGTCTGAAATTGACTGAATTGAGTGATTCTGCTGAAATTTATGAAGTTCTGGCTGAAGTGGTTGTATTGGATGATTCTGCTGATTTATAAAAAAGATTATATTCAAAATATTTAGTATCAATACATAAAATAAAAATTTATATGAAAAATAGCTAAAATATTCTCTACATTAACTTCAGCCCATACAACCAGAAAAGTAACTTCAATCTTATTTTTTCTTATTATTACACAATTCAGTGCGTGAAATAAAAAGTTACGTGTTTGATGAAAAAACTGTCTCATAAGTCTGATAAACTGAAAAAATGAGTTATCCTATTTAGAGAATAGTAGGTATTTTAGTTATAAGTAAATTCAAAATCTTTTTCGCGAAACAAAATCCGAGCAAATTCCTCATCCGAAGCCGAAGTGGTCTTTTCTGAGCAAATTTCTTTAGATTTACACTCTGCCTTCTTAAGCCATTTCTTTCTTCTTTTCTCTTTCCCATAAATTTCATCACAGCTTTGAGATTCCGGATCCAAATTACAGGAAGGTAACACTTAGTTATCATTGAATTAAATGACCCTTTCTCCATCCATACGTAAATGTTTTACGTATGCATTCATGGTAGACATAGCGGCAGTTGCATTCTGATCCGCCTGCATCCGGATTCTTAAAATGGGTCAATCTCTATCTTTGTTGTATCTAAGATACAATGAAATGTATGTACCTGTTTTTGTGTAATGAATTAGGCTTTGACTCTTTGAGGAAGACCTTTGTGTTTTTTTTATCAAGCTACTCTTGTTTAAGGGTGTTCTGGTTAGTTTTGATTATAGGAGCTAAGAAAGACATTGATTAGCTGTTGATCACTTAAGGCTTGTTTGGTTTATGGATTTTGGAGGTAAAGGGAGGGAAAGATTGATTTTTTATTTTACTTATTTATCTGAATTTGTTAGTTTTAGACTACAAATAACTATAAGACCATCTATTTTTATATATGGAGTACTATTTTATCTTCACTTTATTTCAATTTTTCTAAATGTAAAAATTATTTTAAATTTACATATGACCCCTCCAGTCCCTCTCCTCTAACCCCCAACCAAACTGGCCCTTAGAGTTCGTGCACCAATGCATGTAGAAGGAAATCAATTTGATTAGCTCTGTTCTTCCATTAACTTACTTATTATTTTTTATCTTTTATATCAGGAAAAAGAGGGTTTGGTTCCACAGGCTCCAATTTGAGTGGCCATGTTAGAAAAATTATGATGGATTACTTGTTCATGTAGCTGGAATTTAGAATCAGAAAGCAATTGAGCTCTGTTCCATTGTCGACTATAGCATTCTAAATGGGGGTAGATGACCCCAAAGAGCTTGATACAAGTCTCAATGGAGGGGTGGGATCACACACAGATGTCCACGACAGAGATGAAAATGCAGTACTCGAGATGGAAAGCAATAGTGAACATAGTATAGTTTCACAAGGACTTGTTGCTGAAGTCACAGTGTTAAACGATGATGTCATTGAGCATGCTTCACTGCAAGATCAACATAATAGTGTGCCCGAATCAAATGATTTTCAAATTCGAGGCTCTGGATATGTGACACATTCATCGGATGGAAGTGAGCAAAGTGCTGAATTTTCCTCTAGGCTTAGTTCTGATGCAATTCTTGAGACACATATTCACCATAATGTTCCAAGCCACGGATTGGATAGGTCATCTACTTCCACCGATGATGCAGCAGTGTCTACGAATGAGGATACCGAGGATGTCTCTAATGACCCACCTCAAAAGCCCAAACTGAAACAGGTCACTTCAAACGTTTCCCCGGAGCTCTTGCATTTAGTGGATTCTGCTATTATGGGAAAGCCTGAAAGCTTGAATGAGCTGAAGAATATTGTGAGTGGTGCCAAGAATTTTGGAAATGGGGAGGATGTTGAGACTATTCCCTTTTTGGTTGTTGATTCACTTCTTGGTACAATGGGTGGTGTTGAGTCTTTTGAGGAGGATGGTGATAACAATCCACCCAGTGTGATGTTGAACTCTAGAGCTGCAATTGTGGCAGGTGAGCTCATTGCTTGGCTTTCTCCTGTAGGGGATATTGCAGGTCTCATGTCTCCCAGAACCCGGATGGTAAGAGGGCTGCTTGCTATTTTGCGTGCTTGCACTAGAAATAGAGCAATGTGCTCCGCAGCTGGTTTACTAAGTGTTTTACTGCAGTCAGCCGAAAAGCTTTTTCTTCTAGATGGAACTACAAATGATCAAGTGACGTGGGATGGGACTCCTCTATGCTCTTGCATTCAACACTTAGCTGGACATTCTCTAACAGTAAAGGATCTGCATAGATGGTTTGAAGTAATCTCAAGTACCATTTATACTAAATGGGCATCACGTTTGATGCTTTCTTTGGAGAAGGCCATAGATGGAAAAGAGTCAAAGGGTCCATCATGTACCTTTGAGTTTGATGGGGAAAGTTCTGGTTTACTTGGTCCCGGGGAGAGTCGCTGGCCTTTCACTAATGGCTATGCGTTTGCAACATGGATCTACATTGAGTCGTTTGCTGACACTCTTAATACTGCCACTGTTGCTGCTGCAATTGCTGCTGCCGCAGCTGCTACATCAGGGAAATCATCTGCCATGTCAGCTGCAGCCGCTGCCAGTGCCCTAGCAGGTGAAGGCACAGCCCACATGCCAAGGTTATTCAGCTTCTTATCTGCTGATAATCAAGGGATGGAAGCATACTTCCACGCACAGTTTTTAGTGGTTGAATGTGGTAGTGGGAAAGGAAAGAAAGCTTCTTTACACTTTACCCATGCATTTAAGCCACAATGTTGGTATTTTGTTGGTCTTGAACACTCTTATAGGCAAGGGCTTCTAGGAAAAGCTGAGAGTGAGCTAAGGCTGTATATAGATGGCTCCTTGTATGAAAGCCGTCCATTTGATTTTCCAGGAATCTCGAAACCACTTGCATTTTGTTGCATCGGTACTAATCCTCCTCCAACCATGGCTGGTCTACAACGGCGCCGTCGACAGTGCCCTTTATTTGCAGAGATGGGTCCTGTATATATTTTCAAAGAATCAATTGGACCGGATAGAATGGCACGTTTGTCCGCGAGAGGGGGGGATTTGCTCCCTTCTTTTGGTCATGCATCCACCACACCTTGGCTAGCGACAAATGACCATGTCCAGAAACTTGCAGAGGAAAGTGCTCTTTTAGATGCAGAAATCGGTGGAAGCCTTCATCTCCTCTATCATCCTAGCTTGCTTAGTGGGCGGTACTGTCCAGATGCTTCTCCACATGGCATAGCAGGTTTCATTTTTGTGTATTTCTTTTTATCTAAAAGGCTCACCCGCACAGATTTTATGTTGTTTCATGTAACTCAAAAACCACATCTCCATGCTTCTAATATATGTAGAAATTAGAGAGTCATTACCTTGGTTCTTCAGAAGTTATTCAATTGCATTTTTTTATCTGGGCTTTTCATTGGTTTCTATAAGATCTTTTGAATGATCAAAATTTTAAACACACGCTTGGTCATCTATCAAATCTTCTTTCCTTTTGCTAGTCCATTGGTTGCTAAGTTTCTAGTGATGTTTTTTTAACGTTGCAGTTATTGTTTTTTGAAAGGTCACTATTTATTAATAGTTTCAAAATACGTTAGCAAAACTGAAAACCTTGACCTTATTTTTTTGTAAATAATTATTTCATAACTTGGTAACTTTCCAGAAGAAAGTCATGTGGCTTACAGGGTAATATTGCTCTTTTTTAGGCCTTCACCGAAGGCCTGCAGAAGTTCTTGGACAAGTTCATGTTGCTACAAGAATGCGTCCTGCTGAATCTATATGGTCTTTGGCTTATGGAGGCCCAATGTCACTGCTTCCCTTGGCAGTAAGCAATATGCATGAGAGTAGCTTGGAACCTCAACATGGTGACCTTTCTTTGTCATTGGCAACCACTTCTCTTGCTGCTCCTATATTTAGAATTATCTCTATGGCTATTCAGTATCCTGGAAATAATGACGAATTAAGTCGCAGAAGAGGGCCTGAAGTCCTGTCAAAAATTTTGAATTACCTTTTGCAAACCTTATCTGCACTTGATGTTGGGAAGCGTGATGGAGTCACAGATGAGGAACTTGTTGCAGCAGTTGTCTCTTTATGTCAATCACAGAAGCACAATCACACACTGAAGGTGCAGCTATTCAGTACATTGCTGCTGGATCTGAGGATATGGAGCTTATGCAGCTATGGTTTACAGAAAAAGCTACTATCTTCTCTTGCAGATATGGTCTTCTCAGAGTCATCTGTGATGCGCGACTCTAATGGTATTCAGATGCTTCTAGATGGTTGCAGGAAATGCTATTGGACTATTTGTGAAAGTGACTCTCTTAATACATTCTCCATATCTGGAGAAACACGACCTGTTGGTGAAATCAATGCTTTAGTTGATGAACTCTTGGTTATTGTTGAACTTCTAATTTTGGCTGCTCCACCATCGCTAGCCACATATGATATCAATTGTTTGCTTGGTTTCATGGTTGACTGTCCTCAGCCAAATCAGGTAACTATTTTTCATTTTTCTTGACATATATGCTGAAACATGTGTAGTAATAGTCCTTCAATAATGTGCTAATTGATAGCTTAACTGCAACAACTACAGTACTACACGAAAAACATCAGTAGACATCGATACTGGATTGAGACTGATTTTCTCTTGTATGTTAGTACTCTTAGCATTTAGTACAAGGCATATGGAAATGCTTCAGGAATGAATTGCTCTTGATGTAATGCACTTTTTACATCTAGTGGGCCTGAGGTTCTTTCTTTCTTTCTTTCTGTGTGGAAGCATAATCTGCACACCTGCTTCTTTTCATTAAAACCGTCCTTTAAAAGGGAAAAATGCAAAGTCACAAACAAAAGATTGTATATAAGAAGTATATATATATATGTGTGTGTGTGTGTGTGTGTGTGTATATATGATGTGCTACCATTCTTGGTTGAAATATCATATTCAACTACACACCATAGTTTGCGGGAAAGCTCAAAATCTTGAATGTGTAGTAGTGTTTAGTTTTATTCTGAAATTACTTATAGCTTATGCTGTGAATATCATATACTTTCCCACTATTTCCTAATACCCACCCTGTTTCACTCACCCATAGTTTCCTAAAACCTTATGTTCTTGACATATTGTTTTTTGGCTGTTCAAGGTTGCACGCGTCTTGCATCTCATTTACAGGCTGGTGGTACAACCAAATGTATCCCGCGCTCAGACCTTCGCTAAAGCTTTCCTGTCATGTGGGGGTATAGAAACACTTCTTGTCCTGTTGCAGCGCGAATCAAAAGCAGGAGACCGTGATGATCTAGACAGTCCCTCAGTTCAGAATGATAATCTTGTTTCAACTCAAGAAACAGAACTAGGCAGTGAATGTCTGGGGTTGGAAGATAGTCAACCTGATGAAACCGGTGGCACAAAGGAAAGTGATAAAAGTCCACATGAAAGGGAATTTGAACCTGGGACTTTTAGCAGTGGAGGTTCATATGCTTCGGTTAGGTCTGACATCAGAAAGACACAATCACTATCTGAGAATGCTTTTGTGAAGAATTTGGGTGGAATAAGTTTTTCAATAAGTGCAGAAAATGCACGGAATAATGTATACAACATTGATAGAAGAGATGGTATTGTTTTAGGAATTATCAATCTCTTGGGCACTTTAGTTTCATCAGGATATCTTAAACTTGGTATGCATGAGCATACAGACGTGACAAACAACTCACAGAGTTTGTTTGAGGGAGGTGGCACAATGTTTGATGATAAGGTTTCCCTTCTACTTTTTGCTTTACAAAAAACTTTCCAAGCAGCACCAAATAGGCTTCTGAGTAGCAGAGTATACAGAGCTTTATTGGGTGCCTCGGTATGCACTGTCTGTTCTCTTCTCATCATACTTTTTTTGCAGTTATGTCTTTGGTCAGTGAAATTTAAACCATGACTGTGGTTCTGTATCTGTTATTTTTGTTGTAGATTCTGGTCTCTAACCTCTATCAATAGGTCCATAAACTTACGTAGGGTTGGTTAGGTAGAGTCTGAATTGCAAGGTGTTCATATAGATGAGCCACGTGCCTTCTGGCAGAATACATCTGTGTGTTCCTATGTTGTTTTTTAGACGTCTGAGGTTGAGGTGAGGGTAGATTCTTTTTTACATGCTTGCTTTAGAGAAATTTCCCACAATTCTTTCGTTAAAGAATTGCATCTCTTTAGCTTGTGAATATTGGCTGATCTCCCAATAGTGCTAAACATGCAGGTCTTGTTCTCAATCTTAATATATTATGCATTAATGTGTTTCAAATATATACATAAAATTAGTAATGAGTAATGACTTTAAATTGCTTCATGTAAGCCTTTTCGGCTCCACCATTTTGAGTGAAGCTTAATTTCCTCTACACTAAAAGTCTAAAACGGTGACTACCCTGTCTTGTTCTGAACTACTTAATGGCTATTTAGAAGCTTCTGTATTTTTCTAGGAGTAAGGTCTATCTATGATATTGTATAATGAGAGAGTTTCTGCTATGTAAGCAATTATCATTTAATTGACGATTCCTGCTACAGATGAATGCTTCATCAACTGATGAGGGATCAAACTTTTATGACTCTGGCCATCACTTTGAGCACGTACAGCTTTTGTTGGTTCTTTTACGCTCACTTCCATACGCCTCAATGACATTGCAATGCCGAGCACTGCAGGTACCAAGTCGTGGATATAATTCCTCATATCAGTAATAGTTCTTCTCAACTTTCATGCTTTATTACAGTACCACCACTGGCTGAAGAATGTTTAATTTTTTATTGCAACTTGCCATTGTGCTAACTACAAGTCTACAATAGCTCTTTCTATTGCTCCCATTTCAAAATCATTTTCCTTTTCTTATCTGTTTCAATCTATTTGATTTCAGGATCTTTTGATTTTGGCTTGCAGTCATTCTGAAAATAGAAACACTCTCATTAAGATGGAAGAATGGCCTGAATGGATTTTAGAGATTTTCATTTCAAACCATGAGGTCAGAGATAAAGCATTGCATAGATTCATGAGAGTACATTTCCTATTTCAAAATGAGTTTATCATTCTATTATCTTGCTTTCTCGTAATGTGGCTGTGAAAACTGTAAAAATGATCCTTTAGAGTTTTAGGGTGAATGGCAAAGGCAAAGCTAGTCCTCTCCTCCCACTCTTCTGGATTTTTCTACTATGTCATTGGATCATTTGATTGGATTTTTATTATTCTTTCATAACAGACAGGGACAAGTAAAAGTGCCAATCCGTCCAGCTTAAGGGATGTTGAAGATGTCATACACAATTTTCTGATTATCAACTTGGAGCATTCAATGCGCCAGAAGGATGGATGGCAGGTACTGTTTTTAAACCTTTGTTCCTTTTTGGACCTTCTTTTTCTGGGTTAAAAGATGTATATCACCCGTCAGGCCCGTCACCACTTGGAGAATATATGTTAAAATATCATAAAGTTGTGTACTTGTGTTGTAGTTAGACTGTTAAATATTATGCTCGGTTTATTATATTGTTGGAAAACCCTAGTTCACAAATTCCGCAGGTTTAATTTTTGTTGCGACGCGACCTGATACTCCCCAAACTTTCTTTTAGAATTGTATGGATTGTTTGAAATGGCAGGTCATAGCCTATAGCCCTATACATCATTATATAAAGAGTTTTTCACAACCCAAATTAAATTCAATAAATAAGGTATCTACAAAAATAAAAGCTAGAGTCCAATACTTAACCCAACACTAAATGTCCAACTAATGACTAACTAAAATACTCAAAGAAATGTATCAGATAATACTACGGGTTTCTCCCTCGGACCATGGTCCACTCTGCATTGGCTTCTAATCCATACGCCCCATGTATCAATTTCCCATCTGCTTCATGGAGTCTGTAGTGGGTTAAAGTTATTGCCTTTTTGTTGTTTTTATATGTGCAGACGTTAACAAGTTTGGGTATAAGTTAACCAGTGCACTGAAACAGTTCTCTCTCTCTCTCTTGGTCTATTTATTTTGCTATAAACTAATTATATATCGTATTTTCTTTGTTTTAATTTCTGCACCCAACAGTTTCATGCATATAGTTGTGCTTTGCTTCGCTTGGCAGGACATTGAAGCTACAGTTCATTGTGCAGAATGGCTTTCTATGGTGGGTAGTTCTAGCACTGGTGATCAAAGAATCAGGTATCTTGTATTCCTCAAGCTGAGTTAGAAGGCTCTTGAATCAGCTTATTTTTCTGCTCCTTAATTATATTATTGAAGCTTAGTTTCTTTGGGCTCATTTCAATGGGCTTGCAGTACTATTACATTGAGTTTAGATTCATTAGAAGTACTTATCCAATGCTAGGTACTTAACTGTGTTTATATTCCACTTTCAAAATGAAATCTGAACTCTGCAGAACTTTCAGTTTTTGAACTTTCACTCTTTTTGGTAATTATAACCAACATAGGGGGTAAAAGGCAGTTAGAAGACCCACAGGAAGGTGAGAGGAATGGCCCTGACATATGTTCCTCATTCAAATATATACTTTTTCTTTAAATTTAGTAATTTATCACATACTATTTCTCTAGAACAGTATAATGTAATACCATTGCTGTACAAATAAGCTGATCTGTTAATTTTCAAATTGAGTAACATTGTCTCTTTAACTAACTTCTAGGTCATATACTATTGTTCTATGCAACAATACTTTTTTAAGCAATGTTGACTTTCCCCCTCATTTTTTTTTACTTTGGTCATTTGTACATTATTTAAGGCGGGAAGAATCATTACCGATTTTCAAAAGAAGGCTGTTGGGAGGCTTGCTTGATTTTGCTGCGAGGGAATTGCAGGTTCAGGTAATCCCAGAGCCCTTTGCCCATTTGACATGCTCATTTATAGTAATTGAAGCTCCATTGATCTGAGATACGTTTGACACAAAATACAAAATAATAATCATGATGATGATTATATATTATAAAATCAACAGCAACCATCTCATAGTTGAATAGTAATATAGAATAATTAAGTGTTTCCAACAATAGTGTCCAACAACATACGTGGACCCGAAACAACACAACATGATAATGAAGTCCATATATGATGCTTGAAAGCAGTTTCTTTGAAATCTGATAATTCTTTTTCTGTTTGTACCCAATATTCTTCTATCACATTATATTATATTCTGTTAAACACTTAAACTGCATAGTTTCCTTTTCAGTGTCCTTCAGTAAACCACCCTATCAGTAAGTATTTAACAGTACTGGAACCTTGGTTTTTATCCAAGTTAAAACTAAGCAAATGTGTCAGCTTGTCCAATGTTCATTTCCTCCAAATTGCCTTTCATATTGTATGTTAGTGCTTACATGACAAAACTTCATCAGGTCATATCTTGAATTATTAGCTCTTAGAATCTTTTTAATTGGACCGGTTTCAGTCCCATATCAGACCAAACTAGACTTAAACATTCCACACCTATCCAGACCAGATCAAATCAGACCAAACTAGACCAGACTTCGACAATTGTAAAACATACATAGATCAAACATCTACCAGACCGGTTCATATCCGACTAGACCAAACTCAATCAAACCATACCAGACCAGAAAATCAGTCCAATTAAAAACATTCTTAACTTCCAGCTATTGCACTTACAACTATATCCAATTTTTTTGGGGGGGCAGAGTCAAGCAATTGCTACAGCAGCAGCTGGTGTAGCGGCAGAAGGGTTGTCACCCCGGGGTGCTAAAATCGGTGCGGAAAATGCGGCTCAACTTTCTGTTATCTTGGTTGAGAATGCAATTGTGATTTTGATGCTTGTTGAAGATCATTTAAGGCTGCAAAGCAAAATTTACAGTGCTTCACGTTTTCCTGCTGATTCTGTTTCTCCGCTTTCAATTGTTATGCCTGTTGGTAATCAATCTACAAGATCATCGGCGGACATTGGTGGGCTCTCAATTGATGTATGTAAACAGATTTTGTGTTATTCAAGCATTATTGTTCGGTTTGAGTTTATCATTCAGGTTTAACCCCCTCCCCTCTTTGATGCGCAATGATATCCTGAGCCCCTTTCATCCTTACATAATGTTTTGGGAGATAGTGTGATGGGATATGGACCCAGATCTAGTTCTTGGGAGACACTGTTTCTATCGATCTGTCATGCTACAGGTTGAAACACATAATGATTTATGAATTTATTGATTGATAACTTACAAATGTTCCTAGTTGTGCCTATAGGATCCCACAAATTTGGCTTAACAAGTCATTGCTTTATTTTCCAGCATTATTGTGAAACTTTTTCTCCAGCGTAGCAGTAAATTTTATCTGTGGTCGTGATGCACTGTGTTCTTTCTCTTGCACACTTTCTTTCTACCCTTAAAAGTTGATGTTTTGATTTTCCTGAAGCAGATGTCAACTATTATAGTAATGGTTATTCTGTAGATGCATTATCACTCGCTAACAAAATCTATTTGATGCCTATTTGCAATTCTCTTCCAAGTAGCTGTAGTTAAAATCTGATAGGTCTTTCTTGGTCTCAACAGGTTCTTGCATCAATGGCTGATGCAAATGGTCAAATTTCTGCATCCATGATGGAAAGACTTACTGCAGCTGCTGCTTCTGAACCTTATCAATCAGTTTCTTGTGCATTTGTATCATATGGGAGTTGTGCTGTAGATCTGGCCGAGGGATGGAAATACAGGAGCCGCTTATGGTATGGAGTGGGTTTACCCTCTAATGCCACCCACTTTGGTGGAGGTGGCAGTGGTTGGGAAGCTTGGAGTTCTGCATTGGAAAAGGACTCGAACGGAAATTGGGTTGAACTCCCCCTAGTTAAGAAATCTGTTGTGATGCTTGAGACTTTGTTATTAAATGAGTCCGGAATTGGTGGCGGTCTTGGTATTGGAGGAGGATCAGGTACCGGAATGGGTGGTATGACAGCATTGTATCATATGTTAGATAGTGACCAACCTTTTTTATGTATGCTGCGAATGGTACTTGTTTCGCTAAGGGAAGAAGATGATTGTAAAGACCACATGCATAAGAGTTACATAGATTCAGATTGTTCATCAGAGACATCGGATGGACAGACCATCAATATGGAAATGCTAGACAGCAACGCTAGTATTTCATCAAGAAAACCACGAACTTCATTGTTGTGGAGGTACATGATATGATCAAAGTAGTGTGAACTTACCTTATTTATTCAATCATTTTTGCTTCTATTGTATTTGGTTCTGGCCTTTCTTCTTCTCTACTGATGAAATGTACCATAAAATAGTATATTATTGATTTCCTCAGACCCAAGATCCTCGCCTTGCGAGGGTGCCTTCGTGCACTGGCCTGCCCCTTTTATTGTTTTTCCTCAGAATAATGTGCTGCCTTTATTATCCATTACATAGCCTTTTAAAAGAATGCACATACAACGCACCATACAATTTTGATGTGATCATTTTCCTAGTGCTACTGGGACACATCATACCTTCCATTCGACCGAATTTTAATGGGCTAATTACTTTGTAATAACCTACAAGTCCTGATTGATATTTATCTACTGGTACATATTGGCTTGAGGAGGTGGAGGGGGAAGCATATATGTGAACACCGTAGATGTCTATGATCTAATAACTAGTATACATATTGTGTCCCGAATTTTTTTGCATGTTCACAATAATCAATAGTAATCAACTAGTCATACATCATACAAGAGAAAAATTGTTACCCAGACAGTTTTAGGTTTTAAGGCACACTAACGCTTCAGATATGTGTCGATACTTGATTGTTTAATTTGACCAGTTTCTGAATTTGTCATTAATCCAACTTCCAAGTCAATTAATTCATAGTTAATGATTGACAGTGTGCTTTCACCTATTCTGAACATGCCACTTTCTGAGTCCAAGAGACAGCGGGTGTTGGTCGCGTCTTGCATTCTTTATTCTGAGGTGAATATTTGTATTACTTGTTTCACATGAACTAATTTATACTATCAACTCATGAAATACTACAACTTCTCTGTTTAGGTGCAAACTCTATTTAAAAAGATTACACTATAAGAGTATTGCATCAGGTAGCTGTAGGTGCTATATGTCGCCTTATTCTGCTGTGTTTTATCGTATATGTAAATGCAGGTGTGGCATGCTGTTGCTAGAGATCGAAACCCTCTGCGTAAACAATATCTGGAGGCTATTTTGCCTCCATTTGTTGCCATTTTAAGGAGATGGAGACCCCTTTTGGCTAGAATTCATGAACTTGCTACTTCAGATGGTCTGAATCCTCTTGCTGTTGATGATCGTGCGCTGGCTGCAGATGCCTTACCAATTGAGGTTGATTTACTAACTCTATAATAGTATTTCTTTTCACATGTTTTGTTGTTGTGCTTCGTTACATTGAAACCTATCCGTAATGCAAGTCAATATTCTCCTGACGAAAGTAATACTATACTGTGTTAACCTGAGAGCCTGATGCATGCGTCATTACAAGGTTCTGGCAAGATAAAAGAGAGTTCAAGTATAAGATTGAGGAGGTTTGTAGTTGAATGGTGTGCTAGATTGACATTATTTTGGTTTTGTTTCAATACCTTCATTAGCTTGTTTATTTCAAGAAGTGTTTATTTAGGATTTCTTCCTTGTTTTAGATTTCTATACATGTAATTTCTATTTTAAATAGAACCTTTGCTTTGCTAATAAAATATCCAAGAAAGAAATAATTAGAAATCAAGGAAACTCCCCACATGGGGGGGGGGGGGGGGGGGGGGGGCAGTGGAATTTTAGGGAGTTTTCCTTTTCCTTTGGATTTGGGAGTTCTCCTCCCTGTGTTCTTTTTAATTCATTTTGGATATTTAGTAGCAAATCAAATCTCCTTTATAACAGGGATTACATGTATAGAAATCTAAACAAGTAAGGGAAGAAGTCCTAAAAAATCACTTCCTAGAAAATCTAACATCAGAACCGTTTCCATCTTTAGGCTGTATTTTCTTATTATGATTACCATGTTTATTATGAAGTCTGTGACAGGAGTTGTATTTCCTGCTTTGAATGCTTTTGCATTTAGAGTTATTTAATTTGTTACACCTGGTTCTTTTTTATGCACATCGTATGATGAAACTGTGCGGTAACTATTCATGCTCATGTAGCTCAGCCTGCAGAAGGCATTAAATTTTTGTTATTTTTTGTGTCTGGCCTTAAGACTGTCGGATTCTTATTTCCTTTTTTTTTAATTAATGGCGATTTCTGGTTCAATCCAGGCGGCTCTGGCTATGATCTCTCCAAGCTGGGCTGCTGCTTTTGCATCCCCACCTGCTGCTTTGGCATTGGCAATGATGGCTGCTGGTGCTGGTGGAGGTGAAACTACTGCTCCTGCAACAACTCAACAGCTGAGACGTGATTCCTCTTTGCTTGAGAGAAAAACAGCCAAACTGCATAGCTTTTCAAGCTTTCAACAATCTTCAGAAGCTTCTAACAAATCTCCAACTGTTCCGAGGGACAAGGCTGCAGCAAAAGCAGCTGCACTAGCTGTTGCACGAGATCTTGAGCGCAGTGCAAAGATTGGGTCTGGAAGAGGTCTCACTGCAGTGGCCATGGCTACCTCTGCCCAACGAAGAAGTAGGAGTGACATGGAGCGTGTGAAGAGATGGAATGTTTCTGAAGCCATGGGAATTGCCTGGCTTGAATGTCTGCAGGAAGGTGATACCAAATCAGTTTATGGGAAAGATTTTAATGCCCTATCCTACAGATTCATTGCTGTCCTGGTTGGAAGTTTAGCTTTAGCAAGAAACATGCAGCGATCAGAGGTATTCTTTCTCTTTTTTTCTCTGTGCTATATCACTGCAGTTTCTTGTGCACATAAGTTACATCGAGATTTTGATGCTTTTCAGGCTGAAAGACGCAGACAAGTTGATGTAATAGCACGAAGTCGCCTGTACTGTGGAATATGTGAATGGCGAAAGCTTGTCCACAGCTTGATAGAGACCAAATGCCTCTTTGGTCCATCTGGTCTTCATCTATACAAAACCCAACATGTATGTTACTAGCATTTCCTTCCAATTGCTTAAGAGCCCCAGTTTTATGTAAACCTTAATATTTGCTTTGTGTTGTAGGTTTACTGGAAGCTGGATAATATGGAAACATCTTCAAGAATGAGAAGATTCTTGAGAAGAAATTACAGAGGCTCTGTTCATTACGGAGCTGCTGCAAATTTTGATGATCAGGAGCCTAGGCTAGAGAAAATTAAGGCCATCAGTCCTTCTAAAGCTTCGCTTGTAGTTGCAGAAGCCATCTCGATTGAGGATTCAATTGAGTATGACGAGCAGGAGATCTCAATCTCAGAGGGTAGAGCGGATGGCACTCAAAAGCATGGAGACTTTCAGAATGTACCATCTACAACTTCTGAACAGCTGCTGCAGACATCTAAAGAATCTGTGAATTCAGTGCTTGCTGCAGACCCAGACCCAATGACAGTTCATGGTTCCCCAGCAGTTTCTCTGGGGTACGTTCCTGGTGAAGATGATGGAAGGATTGTTCTGGAGCTTCCATCATCAATGGTCAGGCCATTGAAGGTTTTAAGAGGAATGTTTCAGGTAAGTTTTGAGTATTTCGTTAAGTATGTTCACTTTAAGGATTTTAAACAATAATGTAGTATATTCTGTTTCCATGAAAGCATGGACATTGTGGAGTATAATCTTGTCACATCAATTCCATTTCAATATATACATCTGAAATCTATACGATAAACAATGTCTTATTGTCTTTTCTGGTAAGGCCCAATTTAGATGAACAGTGTAATAGTCTCTTTTAAAACATGGCTATTCATTTTCCATCATTTGCAATGGAGCCAAAGATTCACTATTTTTTGGCTTGAGAATATGATGGAATAAAGCAAAATGACTCACTTAACTGTCTGCGCTTCTTTAGTGTGAAGCAACAGTCAGTCCATGTATTTTTCAACGTGATTTTTACTATGGGTCATTCTGAAACAGTCTCTCTGTGCTTTAGTACTGGGGTAAGACTAAATACATCCGACCCCCCCTTACCCCACCGTAGGTGAGAGCCTTTACGGCACTGGGGTAATGATGATGATGATGAAAACATGAGTATTCAACTGGTCTATCACAACCAATATTCTAGCACATTCTAATGAGCTTCTCAAAATAGCTTATTGGGATAAGTAGAATTCTAAAAGCCATATGTTGTTCTCGTAAGCCCTTCCAAACACACTAAAAGATTATGCAATGCCTTCAAAAGTAGAAAAATGAAACTAAGCTCATTTCTACTGGACCTAAGTGTATCTGGAATTCCCTGGGTGTTTTGATTTTCAGGGAAAAGTTTCAGTTGTAGATAATATTCATATCCAACTTGCTATGCCTGCAATGGTAGCTTATACTCCCTCGTATTTAAAAGATCACTACATTAAGTCTTGACACAATATTTAATGGGGAAATAGTAGGGGTAATGAATAGTGTAGAAAAACTAGGATAGAAGGTGAAAAGTAGGAAAGAGAAGATAAAAAGTAGAAAAAGTAAGGGTAATTGAGTATTTTTAAAGGAAAAACATACGAAAAAGGGAAAGTGTAGCAAACTTTTAAATACATCCCAAATAGGAAATTGTTGCAAACTTTTAAATACTGGACCTAAGTGTATCTGGAATTCCCTGGGTGTTTTGATTTTCAGGGAAAAGTTTCAGTTGTAGATAATATTCATATCCAACTTGCTATGCCTGCAATGGTAGCTTATACTCCCTCGTGGTTAAAAGATCACTACATTAAGTCTTGACACAATATTTAATGGGGAAATAGTAGGGGTAATGAATAGTGTAGAAAAACTAGGATAGAAGGTGAAAAGTAGGAAAGAGAAGATAAAAAGTAGAAAAAGTAAGGGTAATTGAGTATTTTTAAAGGAAAAACATACGAAAAAGGGAAAGTGTAGCAAACTTTTAAATACATCCCAAATAGGAAATTGTTGCAAACTTTTAAATACGGAGGGAGTAAGCATAACAAATAATGCCCGTGAAAGTGGAAATCTGGTTAAACCCTACTAATGTTTTTTTTGGTTAACTGGCGATGTAGTATTCAATCAGGGAGTTGTTTATTTACAAGTTACAACTTTACAAACTTTCTTAGTTTACTACTATTCAGACAATTTGTGAGGGGCATAAACATGGTTCCTATCTTGTGTTAACTTGTGCTAAGTTTATGTTTTTTTAGATAACTTCAAGAAGGATCAATTTTATTATTGATAATAATGCTGAGAACAATGCTGCTGTCAGTGGCCTTGACTGCATAATGGAGAATAGGGTCCAAGAAAAGGATCGAAGCTGGCCAATCTCTTCTCTTCATCACATATATAGCAGAAGGTGAGATAAAAGTATGTTTCTCTCTGTAAAGTTGCATGGTGTTTGAAGGAAAGAATTGATTTCAGGCTCATATCTTCATGGCTAAAAACATCACATGCTTACACGTCACATTCTGGGATGTGCTGGGCAAAGCCAGTTCCCTTGATTGCATTGGCTTTCTAGTAGTTTAGACCTTTTAATGTATGTAATAATTTGTTTTTCCTACAGGTATCTATTGAGGAGAAGTGCATTGGAATTATTTATGGTTGACCGATCAAATTTCTTTTTTGATTTTGGGGTATTACATTCTCTCTGTATGTATTCAAGCCCCCACCCCACCCCAAATGTTGTGTGCATGCTAATGAATCTTCTTTTGTATGATCCAGAGTGCTGAAGCAAGAAAAAATGCATATCGAGCAATTGTACAAACACGCCCTCCTCATCTGAACAACATATACCTGGCAACCCAGGTTCTAACCTCAACTTGGCTTGGTCCTGGGCAATTATCATTCTGAAATGTCTTCTTTCTTGTCACTTTACACATTTACAGTAATTAAGGAAGAAGCACTCTTGCACACATGTGCATGAATTACTTTTCAGACTTGAGTAGGGCACATGATTGAGTCTATCTTGATATTCTTATCATATATCTAATAGTTAAGCTGTCAAGGCACCAAATAAGTTCTAAATATCAGTACATAGATCCACCAGAATGTACTGATTACCTTTTACTTATTTATCTTTTTCTCTGATTCATGTGGTACAGAGGCCTGAACAACTCTTGAAAAGAACTCAACTTATGGAACGTTGGGCTCGATGGGAGGTGTGTTTCAATGAATATTTAATCTTATCTGGTAGCTTGGCATAATGTTGTCTCATGTCTTTATGAATTTTATTGAATCATTGGTTGAATTGAGAACGTTCTAAAGCTTTCTTGGTTGTTTTATGTAGATTAGCAACTTTGAATATCTAATGCAACTAAACACACTGTCAGGTCGTAGTTATAATGACATTACACAGGTATGGTTAGCTAAATATCTTTTACAAAGCTCACCATGCAGTCCTGTTTCCATTTACCAATTCTTCTATATTCTCCAGTATCCTGTTTTCCCTTGGATTCTATCTGATTACAGTTCAAGCAGATTGGATCTTGACAATCCTTCTTGTTACCGTGACCTCTCAAAGGTGCCATGTTTTTGAATTTTTTGTTTTCTCAAATAATTGCAATATCTGGCTCTTCAGATGACATATAATTTGATGTGTGGTTTGCAGCCTGTTGGCGCGCTGAATGCTGACAGACTAAAGAAGTTTCAGGAGAGGTACTCTACTTTTGATGATCCAGTCATACCGAAATTTCACTATGGTTCACACTACTCTACTGCTGGAACAGTAAGTCTTGTTCATCTCTTTCTCATCTCTTTCACTGTAAGGGTTGCTTACACAATACTCTAGTGGCAAACTTTGTTCATGCAATAAATCTCTTTCATTTTAATGGCTCAACCGACTGTTTAATTAATTCTATAGTTTTTTGAAATATTCGGGTTACTTTTTGTTGTGCTATATGTTGCCTTGTAGCTACATTTCATCAGGACCAGTATAGTGGAACTTGCAATGAACTTCACAGCTATACTCTACAACCTACACTGTTCTGTTCTCTAAGCTACGAGTAAAACAAGATTACATCTTGAAAATTAGTCAGTTAGAGGGTTATATGATAGTTTCAGTACTCAATAAAATACCTTTGGGTATATGTAGCTACCTACAACAATGGATAAAGAACACCCACAGCCTCTTTAGGGCAGCCTTCTTCTCTCAGCTTCACAATCTCAGAGGCATTTAGCTTGCTTTGATGTTCAAGTATTTCAACAATTAGATATCGACTGATTGACCCATTTTATGGTTTTATCGCGCTTACCATTGTATTATGCACAATATATTCATCTTATCCCTTATATTATCTTTTTCATGTTGTGTATATTGAGTTGGCACCACTTGGTATATGATGGTAGGATCTAGATGTCTAAAATGCTAGAATTGTGTACTGATACTTTGGTATTGTGGGTGATGATATATCAGGTCATGTATTTTCTCGTTAGATTGGAACCTTTTACTACTTTATCGATTCAGCTACAAGGTGGGAAGTTTGATCACGCGGACAGAATGTTTTCAGATATTGCTGGTACATGGAAAGGAGTTCTTGAGGAAATGAGTGATGTGAAAGAGTTGGTATATAACATATATTTCTGTTGAAAGATAGATACCTTGTTTTGCTCTTACAAATATAGATGAAATGGTTACTTTGACTTAATACTATGTCATGAATGGCATTAAACTTACTTTCTTGACTTTATGTCTTAGGTTCCAGAGCTGTTTTATCTTCCAGAGGTATTCACCAATGATAACTCTATTGATTTTGGCTCAACACAACTAGGGGAAAAGCTTGGTAAGCTATTCCAGTTTTCCTAACAAGAGGCAAGAAATGGTCCTTTATATTAATAAGCTGATTAGTTTGTCTAATTGTTCCTGATTCGCTGTTTCAGATTCTGTTCGGCTTCCGCCTTGGGCTGAAAGTCCAGTTGATTTCATTCATAAGCATCGGATGGCACTTGAGAGTGAGCATGTCTCAGCACATTTACATGAATGGATCGATCTAATTTTTGGGTAGCTTCCTGATCCCATAGGATCTTCTTTACCTTCAAACTCAAGAGCTTTACTGTGATCCTCCTACTGATATTTAGTGCATTGACTTTAGCCCCTAGGCTAAAATAGTAATTCACCAAGTGCAGAGTTTTTTAGTCTGAGTTTTTTAAGTTATTCAGGTACAAACAACGAGGAAAAGAAGCTATATTGGCGAATAATGTTTTCTTTTATATTACTTATGAAGGGACTGTGGACATTGACAAAATCACAGACCAAGTGAGTTCTCATTCTCCTGTATAATTAAAACATCTCAATGTATTTTCACTCGATAGACATTCTTCAAATTTTTATTTGTTAAACACTTAAATTTAATCAAAAGGTCCAACAGCAAGCTACACAAGATCAGATTGCTTATTTTGGACAAACACCATCGCAGCTGCTAACAGCCCCTCACATGAAAAGGATGCCGCTTAAAGAAGTTCTTCACCTACAGGTAAATTCATTTAATTTCAAAATTATGAATTAAATCCATTTAATTCCAGTTTCCAGTGTATATCAATGCAAATGTCTGCAGAGACTTCCGTTCATCAACATGGCATGTTTACTTTTAGGCGTGATATTTGAGAACCAATAAAGGTTGTCTTTATCTTGATATGTACTTTTTATTTAGCCATCTTTAACTTTTCCAGTCAAAGATGATAAACTTTGATCTATTATTTTAACTAATATATTTATGTGAAACTTAATAAATTTATACTTTCATGATAGTATTTTTAACAATGAATATTTTCATGTCATTTTCATATTATCAATATTACCATGTATAAATATATAATTGGTCAAAGTTTAACGTTATTGACTTGAAAATAGTGTTTGGCTAATTAAAAAGGGACGGAGGGACTAATACATATTAATATATGTTTCATAACTACGCAATGAGTTTTAGAAAAAGAGGGGGTATCATGTACTTGATGCCATTTAGAAAAAGAGGAGGGTATCATGCACTTGATGCCATTTAACCGCATTTTATAATTTTTAAAGACGTACTCACATACTATACATTTGAAAGTTATATAGCTCTGACATAATATTTGGGATTTTCTAAAATGCCTTTTACTATGGTACCTTTTTCCAGAAACAGAAAGAGCAGAAGGGGGTATTTTTGCCCTTTTCAATCAGGATGATCGGTTGAAAAAAAAATGCCCTGGTCTTTTCTTTTTTCTATAAAAAGGAACAAATAAAATGATACGTGCATATATGTACCTAGAATAGAACATATTTAAAAGAGTTAATTAATACATATGTTTTGATTAATTAAAATGATTAGTAATTACTCTGTAAATAAGTTTCGATATTTCATGGTATATTCTTAATTTATTTTGAAAAGCGTATTATACAAAGAACACCCCTATTTATTTATGTAGTCATGTAGGACATACTTTGTAAGCAGAAAGTCCTCCCTCATGGGGTTCTCCGTTATGCAACTATTTTCTGACAAGTGTAAATCGGTTTATTCTAGCAGACTATCTTCAGGAATCCCACTGATGTTAGGTCATATACAGTTCCTTATCCTGAGCGCTGCAACCTACCTGCTGCTGCAATCCATGCTTCTTCAGACTCGCTTGTAATTGTTGATTCAAGTGCTCCAGCTGCACACATAGCACAACATAAATGGCAGTCAAATACACCTGACGGCCAAGGCACTCCTTTTCTTTTTCAACATGGAAAGCCTGGTGTCAGCTCTGCTGGTGGAGCATTCATGCGTATGTTCAAGGGTGGGACTACTGGTTCTAGTTTAGAGGAGTGGAATTTCCCTCTTTCTATGACATTTCCAGCTTCTGGAATCAAAAGCTCTGCGATAGTTTCTATCATTAGTGACAAGGAAATGATCATGGGTAAGCAGTTTGTTTTAATTCTTGCTTTTCCAAGGTCATTGAGTTCATAAAAGTTCATCTGTTTCACCAACCTAGACAAGTGCACAATCGATACTGAATTATTTTGATATCTAGATGTCAGAAAATTATTTCTTTCATTTCACTGTAATAATATGCTATGGCCTTTTTATATTAGTTAGATCACGAGGTAGTGGAGATGGCCTTTCTACAATTGGACCAGTTCAGGATTCTCATCTTTTTTATTTAGAAAGATCAGGTGAAAAAGATAAGTGCAGTGGAGATTTTATGTTAAGATAGATGATAGATGTGTAGTAACACTAGAAAAGATTGAAATTGCAATGGGAGATCCATGGGGAGGTTGGAGCGTGACCATTGAAGTAAGGTATGTAAGAATCGGCTATACTGGGTCGGACAAACTTATATTGAGTGATCAATGTGGAGAAAGGAGTGTTGGAAATTAGAATTCTTGAGATATAAAATAGTAGAGGTAGAGTGAAAATGACATGGATTAAGGGCATAAAAACTGATATTAGAGTGATGGGGCTTCACAAAACAGTGCATGACAAAAAAGAGTGGACATTTAAGATATTCATGAGTGACTCCTAAATTTTATCTCTTGATTCATGTAGTCGACCCCAATGGTTTGAGATTAAGGTTCAGAAGTTGTTATTATCTTATTTGACTGCATAACCACTAGTAACAGAGTTCATATTGTGACAATTGCTATTTTTCTCTTATTTGACTGCATAATCACCATGATTCATGAAGTGCCCCCCCCCCCCCCCCCCCCCCCCCCGTATATCACTGTTGACCTCATTCTGTACCATGAAGTTCTGTTTTTTTTCAAAATTGGCATCGTAAGTTATAGACCAATGGGTGACAATAAAGTTGGTATTCTTTCTTTTCATGTTTTGTCATACTTCTTGACACTTCATAACTATGTAATAACTTGAGCTTTATGTCTGCTTATCATGTCCAGGTGGGCATGTTGACAACAGCGTCAGACTGATATCTGCAGACACAGCAAAAACCTTGGAAATTGCTAGAGGACACTGTTCTCCTGTCACCTGCCTGGCCACTTCTCCCGATAGCAACTATCTTGTGACGGGTTCTCGTGATGCAGCAGTTCTACTTTGGAAAATACATAAGTTCTCAACTTCCCTCGCGCCCAACATATCATCAGACTCCTCCACTATTGACCCTACCACGCCAGCTGGTAATATGACGGGAAAAAGCTCTTTGGAAAAGAGGCATCGGATTGAGGGTCCCATACATGTTCTAAGGGGTAACCTGGGAGAAATATCATGTTGCTGTGTCAATTCAGATCTTGGAATTGTTGTTTCATGTTCCAACTCATCAGACGTCTTGTTGCATTCGATCAGGAGGGGAAGGTTAATCAGAAAGTTAGTTGGTGTGGAAGCTCATAATGTTTGTCTGTCGTCTGATGGAGTTATAATTACGTGGAACAGAGATCTTAAGACTCTCAGCACCTTTACTCTAAATGGAATTCTTATAACCAGGGCATTTTTCCCTATGTCTTGTAGTGTTGAATGCATGGAGGTTTCTGCCGATGGGAAAAATGTTATAGTTGGGCTGAACCCATCTTTGGATTATGACAAGTTCTCTGATAATAGCAGGAATTCATATGAGGTCACAAGAGTGTCTTCTCATCATGGTGACAGTAATGATGAGCACAAACTTGATATCTCCTTACCATCGATTTGCTTTGTTGAAATTTATAGTCTAAAGGTTCCTCTCTATGGGCACAGTCTTCTTCTTTTCCCCTTTATATTGTTTGTACAGAATCCAATTGATGGCCCCCTTCACTCCCAGAAAGAATAGTTCAGTTTCAAAACATTTTAAAAAAGAGACATTCCTCCAAAAAGTATTATTACAAAAAATTAGGTCAATTGAGTGGGATTTTTTAATGCTATACCGTGGTGAAACACGATTTTCTTAGGGAGTGTTGTGCAACATTCGCATGCTACTCTGTTCTGCCTTAGTTGTTTGTAATTTGTCTGCCACACTTTGCGTTATGCTTGCACTAAAGAGCACACAATTTATTTTCACGTGTAGGTCTTTCACACTATGAAACTGGGTGAGGGTCAAGATATTACAGCTTTGGCACTGAACAAAGATAACACAAACCTTCTGGTATCCACCGCTGACAAAAAGTTGTTAATCTTCACAGATCCTGCTGTAAGTTGAAGTCGTTTTGCTGTGTATCTTATCTAGTTTTCTTGTACTTGCTGTCTTGTATGGGCTGTTTTAAAAGAATTTGAAACCTTTAGTTTGTAATGACATTGAAAAGATGCTCCTTGCATTACTAACTACACATGGACAACATAAAAGGCATCAAGTTTCATTCAGTTTGGTTGATACTTTTTTGACCATTAAGTTATATACAAGTATATGATATATGGAGAAATAACTTCAAATAAAATCAATTATCATAGTATCACCCGTAAACCAATAATAATGTGCATTCTTGAAATCACTTCCGATAATACAAACTATTGGAATATGTAATGAAACTGGTACGTAGTCACTTTTTGAATACAAATCTAGTGATTCATCAAAGACTGATAATAGACCTTGAAATAGGGTTTATTTTGAAACGAGGTCACTTATTTTGATGATTTGATATAGGCTTTTGATGGGTTAAATGACTGGACTTTTTGCAAAATGGATCCATATAACTTTCGATATATATTCAAATAGTTGATATTATGGAAAGGGATTTCTATAGTACTTTTATAAACATTAAAATACTAATATGATATGCAGTTATATAACATTTCAATCACATATTCACATTTATGCTTCCAAAGTCCTCCCCATAAAAAATCCATTACCAAACACAACCTTAGAATTTTCTTGAACTTTTTTACGATGCTCTAAGACTAAAAAACAAATTAAGTATGCGTAATGTGTGGATTTGCAGAGATATCCATAAGTAGTGTGTCCACAATTTCATAGTTTTTTCCCCTTATTTTTTACTTATTCTTTTACGTTGTCTGAATTTTGCGCTGATTATAACTTCTTATTGTTTATTACATCTTTCGTTGCATGCAGTTGAGCTTAAAGGTGGTTGATCACATGCTTAAGCTAGGTTGGGAAGGCGATGGGCTCAGCCCACTAGTCAAATGAGCATCTCACATTGAACCCTTTTCTTGAATGTGGAAGAAGAATTTGAACCCAAGTGGTATGTATAGAAACTACGGACAGCAAGCAGAAGATATAATCAGGATGAGTGGTGAACATCTGACTGAACCCAACGGCTGAACTGTATCTGTAAACTATTTCTAGGAAGGTGCTCTGGATTGGATTGGTCACCTGTCCAGTTTATAAAACTCTAGCTATTCCACGTGCAGCCTCTCATTAGCAGTTTTTTACTATTCCGCAGAAGCTTTGATGTGGTGGTGTCTTCATTAAAGTTGTGTATATTTCTTCAAATTTTGTAACAAATGATTTTCATTCTAGAGTTGCAATGCAGGCATAGCGTATCGTTCCCTGCAATTTTTTTTGCATTCTTGTAAGGAAAAATTCACACAAATAATCCCAACTATTCATGATCTTCTCATATTAATCCCAATTTTAAGTAATTCCAATATAATCCCAATTATACAGTGCATCTTCTTGTAACAAGCCGGTGACCTGCATAAACCCATTCAGCAGGTCACCTTGCCACGTGGCTTGTTCTAATTAGACTATATTTTTTTCAATATTTCTTTTGTTTTTCTTTTAGTTTTCTTTTCTCTTCCCCAACCCCAAACTTGCATCTGATCCGTGCTCCAACTTCTCCTCCAAGCTCTGCCCTCTTTTTTCTTTTATTCTCCCCTTTGGAGTCTCAGTTCTCCACTTCTCATCTCCTCTTACTTTGTTTTCTACTGTTTTTTCCTTTTCCTTTTATTTTCGTTTGCTGCTTCTCTGTCTGATGGAGAAAAATGTAAGGGGCGCATTCCCTTCTTTCCAATGAAAGTCCCTTCTTCATTTTTTCTTGTATTCATTTTATTTCCTCTTCTTGAAGAGGAAAACTAGGGGTGGACTGGTTCCGGTTCGGGCCTGGTCCGGGCTGAGCCTCGGTTCATGAAAGGGGAGGCCCGAAACCGGTCCGGGTAACCCCGGGTCCGGTCCGGGCCGGGTAACCCCGGGTCCGGTCCGGGTAACCCCGGGTCCGGTCCGGGCCGGGTTTCGGTTCATTTTTTTTGGCTTTTCCTAATTAACCCCCAACCCTCCCCCCTCACCCCCAAACCACTCCAAACCACCTCAAATGGCCCATCATACCCAACCCAACCCAAACACTTAAAAAAAGTTCAAAAAAAAAATTGCTCCGGACCGGGTCCGAACCGGCCGGGCCGGTTCACTCTTTAACAGGCCCGGGCCCGAATCGCCTACCCCGGCCCGAACCGGGCATCAACCGGTTCACCGGGCCGGTCCGGGCCCGCACAGTAGCGGACCGGTCCGGTTCTGGGCTGGTTGGCCCGACCCGAGTCCACTCCTAAGGAAAACCCTGCAACGTGGCCGATTTATGAGGATCAAAGCTTGCAACCCCCTCAACTCCAAACGGAAGCAGATCTGATCCCTGAAGATGAAGTGCGTGGGAGAGTGCGCCGCGATGCTACTTCCAAGTGATGAAAGCACCGGGGGTCACCTATAGTCGGTGTCAACAACGAATAGAAATGGGGATCTGGGTACTTGGTTGGCTGCTGGCACCAGGTCAACGATGCAGGGTTTCTCGGAAGTCGGAACAGTGAAGATGGACCACGGTTGTTGGACATTTTTTTCCATTTCATTTACTTCTTTTTACCGGTTCATTAAGTCTCAGGTTACCTGAGATCAATTTGAGAAGGACACAGGTAAATTTCAGATTATTCCAAAATTATGTATATTTAGGATTAATATTGGAAGATAGTTAATAGTTGGGATGATTAATGTGAATTTTTCCTTGTAATTTATGTTCTTTTTCAATACTTATGGGCAACCTCTGCTTACAGAAAAAAGTGATTTACATCAGAACTTTCAACATGTAGAAGTTTAGAACCATAGTTAAGCGAAACAGTTCATCAAATCAAATATAGGTTTTTGCGGCTATCCAGTTGTAAAAATAAAAAATCTATTATTATATAGAAACAAAATGAAGCGAAAAGGCAAGACTAAAACACCAAGTCATCTTGTTTTGTTCTTCAGCTGATTGTCTAATACTAGTGTATAGGCAGGGAGGAATACAAAAACGTCCTAAATTCAAAGGGATTTGAAATAAAATAATACTCCATATATTTGCATGTACCAAAAACATACGCAAGTCTCAGGGTAACCTGGTTTGTAAAGCTACACATCGAGAAAGTAATTCAATATACATAACTAAATACATTTAAACTTTATATATCTATCATTTTGTACCTTTGTGTGTGTTAGTTTCTCGATCTAGCTGCGGTTATATATAAATAATTTTGTTCAAAACCTTCATTTGTAAAAACATAAATTGGTTAATATAAATTGAACGTTGCCTATCCCAAGCAAAAAGACCGGCCCATATATGTGCAATCATTGTACATACACCCACAAATAATACATATGCATATATAGAGACCATTTGGTAATCCAAATTACCCTATAACCGGCCGAATTGACTAACTTTGTTGAAATTAGTGAAATTCTTAACAAATTGTTTGAATTTACTGAGTTATGAATGAACTATATTACTCTCTATGTTATTATATTTTATTTGTAAAATGAAGAGAAAGTGATATGAAAATAGTTAAAATAGTGATATCAAACATTTTACTTCAATCCCCTAATGATCGTCTCGGTCAAAATAGCTAACAGAATCTGCTCATATCAAACAACAGATACAATCAGGTATTAGCCAACAACTGATTATCAAACACTCCATTTGATTTTTCCATCATCCACAAACTCTAGTAAGTAAGCCGAACTTTGAATATACGCTATAATTCAATACTCCCTCCGGTCCCAAAACAACTTCACACTTTTTTTTTGGATATGTCTAAAATAAACTTTACACTTCAACTTTTGGCAACTTTTTAACACAAAGTTATCATTATACCCATAATTTATTACCTACTTTACATTCACTTTTTCTCTATCACTACACTTTATCTACTTTTTGGGGGCATAATGAGAAATTCAAAACAAAAAGTTCCATTTTCTTAAATACCGTGAAGTCAAACCATGAAATTCTTTTGGGACGGAAGGAAGTACACATGGGAAGATTTCATTATTATTTAGAATTTGATATAATTGGGTGTATATATATATATTTTTAATACGTACATTTAAGTTTATGTTATATATTTACAAAAATAAAGTGCATAGCATTTTAAACTATCTTAGAAGCTTATGAGTTATATGCCGCATGTCCGATATAAACACCGAAATCCATGGATTTTGATGTTATCTAAATACATTTTTAATTATCAAATACGTACAATCGAGTCTTGTATTTAACTCTACCGTATTTTTATATTAATTGCTAAAGTGTCATATTCTTTAATAGAAATAAGAGAGAATTCTCTAAATAGGAGTAAAAAAAGTTTTGAAATTCCAAAATAGGAGTATCATATTTTTTATTCCTTGAATATGAGTAAATTTGTGCCAAGTTTGGTATTTACTAGGCTTTAAACATGACATTTTTTTCCAAACTTGGCAGATTACTCTTATTCAGTGAATAAAAATCATGATACTCCTGTTTTGGAATTTCAAAACGTTTTTGCTCCTATTTAGAGCAATTTCTATAAAAATAATAGAGGTTATTAACTAAAAGTAACCTTTTTGTTTAAGCTATATAAGCTATATAGCCATTTCTCTCTATCTTTTATTTGAAATTCTAATTAGAATCTAATCTTAATAATCTTTTTATTGATTACTTTGAGTAAAGTGAAAAGAAATTTATTTGAATCTTTGATAGTACTTTATCTTTTATCTAGCTAAGAAATTTAGTCCCTATTTATATCCCTATCACACGAAGAGCACGTTTGGTAGCATGAAAATCGGCTGATTTGGTTGATTCTGCTGAAATTTATGAAGTTCTGGCTGAAGTGGCTGCATTGGCTGATTCTGCTGATTTAAGAAAAAAATAATTCTAAATTATATCTTATTAATAAAATAAAGAAAAAATTATATGTAAAAATGGCTAAAATGGTCGTCTACAGTAACTTCAACCAATACAGCCAGAAAAGTAACTTCAACCTTACTTTTTCTACTTATTACACAATTCAGCGCGCGAAAGCAAAAATTACGTGTTTGGTGAAAAAGTTGGTTGATAAGTCTGATAAACCGAAAAATAGTGTTACAAACGAGCTCGAAGTATATGAGTATATCTCTATTTGCATGATGGCGTCTCTGTCATATATCTAAAAAAAAGTGTAATAGATCGAATTTCCCTATTTGTTTTGTTTGAGATCAAATTTAGTCAAGATTTTCTTGGGTCGGTGGTATCACGTATATTCATAAATTCCCTGAGTATGGAAAATATTCCTTTCCGTGCAGCTTTCTCGTGAGCGTTTTAGCTCCCCGTGACCTGTTGGTAGGCAAGTACTCCCTCCCGGTGAAGATAGGCTACATTTTACTATTTTACTTCTCCCCTTACCAAGTTTTTATTTGGATTTATTTGTATCCCAAATCACACAAATCAAATCAGACTTTAACAGATTAGACTAAATTAGACTTCGAAAGTTATAAAATACAATAGACGAGACCAAACTTAATCAGATCACCCAACCCAGACTAGACATAACAAAATTAGACCAAATTAAATTAGATTTCTTTTTGTATTGGCTCACTCTTACATTTCTTTTTTGTCTATTTTTTTTAATTAAAACAAAGTCACAAGTTAATAACTCTGTCTTCTCATAACTTATTAATACCATACATATGAGGTTATAAACTAGAATTACAAATTATCTTTATAGTTTATATTAAGTTAATAATGAACACCAAGTCACCAAACATATATAAAACACAAAATTATGAATTGGTACAAGTACTCATTACTTTCATTAAATATATTATATTGATCTTATTAGCTACGATGGTATCACTAAGGAAGAGTTTGATCAAATAGAAAATGTCTTAACGTGTAAAGTAAGAATTAATTTCAACCGTCCAAAGAGTCAATCTTATGCATAATAAATCTTGTTTGATTCATTTTTCCAATACTTACGAAAATGTCATCGCGTCGAGATATTGAAAAGAGCATCATCTAAGCTTTATTTGAGAACTGCATTAGATCAAGATTCCTGTGCATCAAATTAATTGTTTGGACGGCTAAATTAATTCTTATTTCAATACTTTTTTTATTTGAACCCTAACCATTAATGTAACTTTAAAAATCACTTTTACAAAAAAAAATCATCGCAACAGTATTGCTAAGACTTTATAGTATGTTTTAGCACAATATTACCACGATACTGTACGTACACCTTTGTGATTTTACTTGCGATTCATATTAATTTATTAGTCATATTGATTTATTAGTATAGAATTGTAAAATCAAACAATTTTATAATTTGTATCGAGATTTCAATAACCTAGCTTACTCGGTTACTCCACAAGTGAATCATACTATTTCTTCTTACTTTCTCTAAAAGAGAATGACTCCATTCATGAGGG